ACATCTAACTTCCAGTTTACAAGAAAGACAGCAGGAGGGAATATGCTGAATGACACCATGAAGCAATCACACAAACCCCAAATGTGGGACATTCCAGAGGACAAATGACCCAGTTTATTCAGTAAGTCAGTGGTGGGGCAGGGGTTGGGGGGAGGCAGGGGGAGAGGAGGAAGGCTAGACAGTTCTAAATCAAAATAGATTTAGACATAAAGGCAACAGATGAATTTTGTTTGGATTCTGATTTACACTGAAAAAAACTGTAAATAGAGTTTAAGGATATCTAGGACAAGACTAAGAGCTGGGTATCAGCTAGAATGAAACAATTATGTTTAAACTTGATAATAGTTAAGATGCTGGGTATAGGGTTGGGCACTATATTGCTGTATTTTCAATTCTGCATAATGAAAAACTAAAGAAAAAACATACCATCACCATTCTACCTAAAATTTTAGAGCCACTGATCTCCCTACAACCACCAACTTCCCAGTCTGAGTTGGTGCGGACCAGAAAACCCAATCCCAAGGTTGGATCTAGAGCATACCACTTTTTTAAAGTTTCCCATTTGAAATGACTCAACTGTCAGAATTCCTATGGGTGGTATGACAACCTGCATGAGAACAGACAAATGTCAGATTACTTTTAAAAAGATGACAGCAGCTGGGCGCGGTGGCGCAAGCCTGTAATCCCAGCACTTTGGGAGGCCGAGGCGGGTGGATCACGAGGTCAAGAGATCGAGACCATCCCGGTCAACATAGTGAAACCCCGTCTCTACTAAAAATACAAAAAATTAGCTGGGCATGGTGGCACGTGCCTGTAATCCCAGCTACTCAGGAGGCTGAGGCAGGAGAATTGCCTGAACCCAGGAGGCGGAGGTTGCGGTGAGCCGAGATCGCGCCATTGCACTCCAGCCTGGGTAACAAGAGCGAAACTCCGTCTCAAAAAAAAAAAAAAAAAAAAAAAAAGATGACAGCAAAAATTCCTAATTTGAAAATCAAATAATAATCAGAAGAAACATCTATCTTTAAAATGAAAGATCCAACCAGGTGTGGTGGCTCACACCTGTAATCCCAGCACTTTGGGAGGCTGAGGCGGTGGATCACAAGGTGGTGCATCACAAGGTCAGGAGTTCAAGACCAGCCTGGCCAATACGGTGGAACCCCATCTCTACTAAAAATACAAAAATCAGCCGGGCGTGGTGGTATGCACCTGTAGTCCCTACTAATTGTAGACAGTTTAACTGCAGTCAGTTACTCAGAAGGCGGAAGCAGGAGAATCACTTGAACCTGGGAGGTGGAGGTTGCAATGAGCTGAGATTGTGCCACTGCACTCCAGCCTGGGCAACAGAGTGAGACTCTGTCTCACACAAAAAGAAAAAAGAAAGACCCATCAATGTACTATTTTTCCCTAGTTTGAAAACATACCATCTCTAAACAAAGTTCCCACACAGAACATGAAATTATGAAATGTTACAATATGAGGCCTTTAAAATTTTATATCAACAAACCTAATTTCAAGATTTAAATTCACTCTCAGAAACACCAATATACAAGATATCATACTCAGAATAATCAACACTGGAAATTCTCAGTAACATCTGACATCAACAAAAGCTTGCACACCAGGCATGGCAGCGAGTGCCTGTAACACCAGTGCTTTGGGAGGCTGAGGCAGGAGGACTGCTTGAACCCAGGAGTTTTCCATTATGCAAAACTGAAAATGCACCAATACAGTGCACAGCCTTATGCCCAACATCTTGATGTAAGAATTATTAACATTTGGTTGCATTTGCCCTTTTGTAGAAATATTTTAAATTACAGACGTGTCATTTTCAACTTTATATACCTTAGTATGTCTCTACAAAATTATCTATTTATACATAATCACAGTACAATTATCAGGCTTAAACATAATTATTTCAATCCAGCTGAAACCCAGCTCGTATTCAGTTGTGTCCCAGATATCTTTAAACTCTGTTTACAGTTTTTTCAGAGTAAATCGGAGTCCAAACAAAATCCATCTATTGCCTTTATGTCTAAATCTATTTTAATCTATAACTATGTAGCCTTCCTTCTTTCTCTCCCCCTTTTTCCAACCTGGGCAATATAGTGAGACTCCCATCTCTACAAAAAATATTAAAATACATATTTTTTAAAAGAGGCTGTTGGGAGGCCAAGGAGGGCGGATCACAAGGTCAAGAGTTCCAGATCAGCCTGACCAACATTGTGAATCCATCTCTACTAAAAATACAAAAATTAGCCAGACGTGGTGGCACATGCCTGTAGTCCTATAGCTACTCAGGCGGCTGAGGCAGGAGAATCGCTTGAACCCAGGATTAGAGGGTGCAGTGAGCCGAGACTGCGCCACTGCACTCCAGCCCAGGTGACAGAACAAGATTCTGTCTCAAAAAAAAAAAAAAAAATAGGTTGGACACAGTGGCTCACACCTGTAATCCCAGCACTGTGGGAGGCCAACACGGGTGGATCACTTGAGGTCAGGAGTTCCAGACCAGACTGGGCAACACAGTGAGACCCCATCTCTACCAAAGACACAAGTTAGTTAGGCGTGGTGGTGTGCACCCGTAATCTCAGCTACTGGGGAGGCCAAGGCAGGAAAATCGCTTGAACCCATGAAAGAAGGTTGCAGTGAGACAAGATCACGCCACCGCACTCCAGCCTGGGTGCCAGAGCAAAACTGTCTCAAAAATAAAATGAAACGAAATAAAATAAATAGCATATAGGCCAGGCGCAGTGGCTCACGCCTGTAATCTCAGCACTTTGGGAGGCCGAGGCAGGAGGATCACCTGAAATCAGGAGTTCAAGACCAGACTGGGCAACTGAGTAAAACTCCGCCTCTACTAAAAATACAAAAATTAGCTGGGAGTGGTGGCAAGCGCCTATAATCCCAGCTACTCCGGAGGCTGAGGCAGGAGAATCGCCTGAGCCAGGGAGGTAGAGGTTGCAGTGAGCCAAGACTGTGCCACTGCTCTCCAGCCTGAGCCACAGAGTGAGACTCCATCTCAAAAAAAAAAAAAAAAACGGGGGGTAAAAAGGGGTGGGGGGTGCATATAAAGAAAGTTCTTAGCTTGGCGTGGTGGCTCACATTTGTAATCCCAGCACTTTGGGAGGCCGAGGAGAGTGTTCAAGCTCAGCGTGGCCAACATGATGAACCCCATCTCTACTAAAAATAGAAAAATTAGCTGGGCATGGTGGCACATGCCTATAATCCTCGCTACTCACCAGGCTGAAGCAGAGGATGCAGTGAACTGAGATCAGACCACTGCACTCCAGCCGGGGCAACAAACCTTGAAACTCTAGCTGGAAAAAAAAAAAAAAAAAGAATAAGTTCTGTACTCCACCTTCCCCCCTCAAACTTTACCTTCACTATCAAGGTTTGGGTTTGCGTTTTACTGGGAATTCATGTATTTCTGCACAGTACAATCAGACAGACTTAACAGACTGGACACAAGGCATGAAATAATCATTACTCTATTAAGCTAGTGTACTGTTCTGTTAAAACTGTACTCAGTTGATCCAGGATAAGAAACTGCCTAAATAAGACAAGTTTGGTAAAATTTCTCTTTATGGAGCCAAAAAAAAAAAAAAAAAAAAATTTTAAACGCACTTTAGATTTTTTTCAATTCTAATCCTCTACTTCCATGGCATCACACTGCTCTTATTTCCTAACACACACAGTATGATAAGATGACCTGGGCTGCTTCCTCCTTCCTCCTGGGTTCCAGGCACTGAACGTATACACACAGCCTAATCCTTCCAGGATTCCTAAGTGCAGGGGTCAGGAAGAAGAGAGAACTACCTGCTTAGGTATTTCTAGTGACTGCTGCACAGAGAACACCCAGGAGAACCCAAAGAAAGCAGACTTCAACACTTAAAAGTCTGCAGACCACCTTCTACCAGACCTTAACTTTCATTTAATCAAAAATCACAACTAATTTTAACTCATTTTAAAGCTTTCTTGTATGCAGAAACATTCCAAAATGTTACATGAGTAACATATGCCAACACGCCACCAAAGTAAGCCTGCTTTATAAAGACAAAAAGAAGCAAGATCTTCACAATTTCTGCAACACTAGCTTCAAAATTAGAATAGCCTTACACTGCTCAACTCTTGGCTGTCAGAGCAAAAATAACTCACTCCTTTATCTACAAAAGCTTTAAAATGTGTCTCTGTTATTGCCAAAACCAAAAAGTTTTATTTAATCTAGAATCTTTCATCCATAGTATTTGGGAAAAGTGATCTCAAATTACCCAAAGACGACCTGGAACTTTAAGGAGTGGGAACTATATAAACCTCTTCATTTGTAAAGCTTCCTTGCATGCGAAAATACTAAAAAATATTCTTATGTTTAACTTTAATGATTAAACATTAACTCAAACAGCCCATGAGATGCACACTTCATGTCCACATACACCATGAAACAGAAATACCCTTATTTGTGGACGTCGTAAAGGCGCAGTCTTTTCAAAGTTAACCCAGGCTGGGCCATGAAACGTCCTCTCTGAAGGAAATCTTAGAAGCCTGTAATTTAAATCGTGCCTCTTCAAGCTGAAAGGAGGACGCTCAGATTCCGCCAAACAAAAAAACAAAAACAAAAACAAACCCCTTTTTACTTGGGGACAGACAAACTGAGTAGTTACACGTTGGAAATGACTATTGTCACAGCGTTCTGCCCCCGGGCTTCACACTCGCATTCCTGACGGCTCTGACCCCGACCTTTAGGAGAACGCCCCGCGCAGCGAAGCCACCTCGGCCACCTAAGCAGCAGCTCCGCGCCGCCCTAACCGCACCTGCCCACGCACGTCTCCGGCCGAGCTCCGCCTCCGGCCCCCGCCCGGCCCGTGGGACAAAGCACAGCCCAGGCCGGCCAGGACGCCTAGCGATCCCGAGCCGCGGGCCGACCTTGGCGCCGCCCCGAGCCGGCCGCACAAAGCGCCGCACTTCCGGCCTCGGCGCGCAGTCGCCCGCCGCCCGCCCCCACTCACCGCGCCGCGGCGGCGGCCTGGGCCTCAGTGACCAGCGCACGCCGGCCCGCGGCGAGCTTGGCCGTGGGGCTAAACGAGGGGAGCGCGCCGAGGAGACGTGCTACGATACGGGGCCGACCCTCCGAGCCCCGCGTCTCTGCTGCCACCCGGGCGCCGCGCTCCCACTTGTTCGGCTCCGCTTGGCCCGGCCCGCCTCTCCGCAGCCCGCGCTCCCCGCCGACGCTGCGCAGCCACCGGAGCCGCCGACCTCACTTCCGCCCGAGCGCGCTGCGGCGGGGGCGCGCCGGCACGTGACTGCGCAGCGTGCACGCTCCCGCCGGGGCCCTCGAGGCGCCCGGATGGACGAAAGCGGGCGCGCGCGGACCTGGGCACCTCTGCAAGGGTTAGCGGGCCCTTGCGGGGACAGTCTTTTTCCGCGCAGTAGGGCGTTAAGTCCGTGTGATATGAACATGCCGGAGCATAGCTGTAGCTTTTTATTAAATATTTGATTTCTATTTTGAGATCCTCCCGCGCTGCAGGAATCTTTCTGTATGCCCGGATGCCGGGGCGCAGACCGGGGTCCCTCAGGGGGCACCCGGGAGTCGAGCACACGCGGGGCGGCCACCCACCGGGGTCGGAGCCAGGACAGAGCTCAGCTCACTGAGCCTTCGCCAGTGCCAAGGCTGCGGGCGTCCGCTCGGAAGTGCAGATTTTAGAGAACGCAAGTCAGCGTTTCAAGTGTGGAAGTGTGGGATCGTTTCTATAGACAGAGTTCAGGGAAGTGCACCAGAATGTTGACCTTTTTGTCTGTTTTTGAGACGGAGTTTCGCTCTTGTCGCCCAGGCTGGAGTGCAATGGCGCGATCTCGGCTCGCTGTAACCTCCGCCTCCCGGGTTCAAACGACTATCCTGCCTCAGCCTCCCGAGTAGCTAGGATTACAGGCGTCCGCCACCACACCCAGCTAATTTTTGTGTTACTAGTAGAGACGGGTTTCACCATGTTGACCAGGCTGGTCTCGAACTCATGACCTCAGGTGTTCGAGACCACAGCCTCCCAGAGTGCTGGGATTACAGGTGTGAGCCACCGCGCCCGGCCAAATATTAGTATTTTTATGTAAGGCTTAGTGTATAGTTAGAATGATTTAATTAGTTAAGGGGGGTTTCTGGGGGGATGTATGTTTACTATTTCCTATTGAAGAGGTGCCTGTCTTCATGTTTGTGTTTGGGGTGTTGTTTCGTCTGAGCTAGGTACAGGACAACAAAGGAGGGAGTTACTGCAATAAAGATTGGTGATGAAAGGGTGGAAGTCTGGCCCTGGTCTTTGTTTTAGTCGTTTTATAGAATAAAATGCCGGGCTCAGTGGCTCAGGCCTGTAATCCCAGCACTTTAGGAGGCCGAGGTGGGAGGAGCACTTGAGCCCAGGAGTTCCAGACCAGCCTGGACATAGCCAAACCCTGAAAAAAAAAAAAAAAAGAAAGGAAAAAAAAAGTTTAAATGGAAAAGAACAAGAATAAAAATGAGAAGAGTAATCTAATAAGTGCAAATATAGGCCAGGCACAGTGGCTCACACCTGTAATCCTAGCACTTTAAGAGGCCAAGGCAGGCGAATCACAAGATGGAGACGTTCTGGCTAACATGGTGAAACCCTGTCTCTACTGAAAATACAAAAATTAGGTGGGCATGGTGGTGTGTGCCTGTAGTCCCAGCAACTCAGGAGGCTGAGGCAGGAGAATCGCTTGGACCCAGGAGGCAGAGGTTGCAGTAAGCTGAGATTGTGCAACTGCATTCCAGCCTGGTGACAGAGTGAGACTCCATCTCAAAAAAAAAAAAAAAAAAGAAGTGCGATTGTAAACCATATTATTTGATTTAGATAACATCTCTCAAGGCTTAAAGTGTTTTGGAGGTTTTAATAGGTTTTAAATTTTATTTACTTTTACCTGATATATCTTACAAATGAGGAAATTAGGCACGAAGAGGTTGACTGGCTTCTTCAAGAACTCACAATCACTAAGAAACAGGCCTACGGTTTCCCGGTGGGGGAGAGGCTTTGCTGGAGGACGGGTGGATGGTCTGGCTAAAGCCCAGAGAGGGCAGGATCATGGGCCTGTGCTTGCCAGAAGGAGCCTGGTCAGTTTACCACACCTTGCTCAAACCGAGTGCAATCAGATCTTAAGCATCACCAGCTACAGTTCAACTAAAGGTTCTTCAATGACCTCTGTAAGATTTCAATGCAAGTTTAAATAGTTGCAAAGTGCTGGGCACAGTGGCTCATGCCTGTAATCACAACACTTTGGGAAGTTGAGGCAGGAGGATCTCTTGAGGCCAGGAGTTTCAGACCGACCTGGCCAACACAGTGACACCCACCCACCACCACTGCCGCCAAAAATTAAACAATGAGCCAATCGTGGTGCCACATACCTATTGTCTAGCTACTTGGGAGGCTGAAGTTGGAAGATGGCCTGAGTGCACGCGTTCAAGTCTAGGGTGAGCCAAAATTTTGCCATTGCACTCCAGCCTGGGCGAGAGAGAAAGACTGTCTCAAATAAATGTGGCCAGGCATGATGGCTAATACCTGTAATCCCAGTACTTTGGGAGGTGGAGGAGGGCAGATCACCTGAGGTTAGGTATTCGAGACCAGCCTGACCAACATGGTGAAACTCTGTCTCTACAAAAAATACAAAAATTTGCCAGTCATGGTGGTTTATATCTGTAGTCCCAGCTACTCAGGAGGCTGAGGCAGGAGAATCACTTGAGCCTGGGAGGCAGAGGTTGCAGTGAGCCGAGATTGTACCACTGCACTTCAGCCTGGGTGACAGAGGCTGAAGTGAGACTCCATCTCCGATAAATAAATAAATAGTTGCAAAGGACACAACTGGGGTACTATAAATGTTGATAGTTTTAAATAAAATTAGGACATTACATTTTTAAATCTGTCCATTGGAGTATAAACACGGTGATTTGATTCCCGCTATTTCTATTTTTATTTTTTATTTCAATCGTTTTTGGGGAATGGATGGTGTTTCATTATATGGATGAGGTGTTTTTTTGTTGTTGTTTTGTTTTTTTGAGACAGAGTTTTGCTCACCACAACCTCCGCCTCCTGGGTTCAGGCAATTCTCCTGCCTCAGCCTCCCTAGTAGCTGGGATTACAGACATGCACCACCACGCCCAGCTAATTTTTTGTGTTTTTAGTAGAGACGGGGTTTCACCATGTTGACCAGGATGGTCTCGATCTCTTGTCCTCATGATCCACCTGCCTTGGCCTCCCAAAGTGCTGGGATTACAGGCATGAGCCACCACACCCGGCCATGGATGAGTTTTTTTAGTGGTCATTTCTGAGATTTTGGTCATTTCCATTTATAAAATACTTGAATGAATTTTCTATAACTGCAAAATTTCATATGTTGAGTCTTGTTTTAATCACTTGTATCAGTCAGCATAGCCACGATGCGCTTCAGTAAACAAGCTCAAAATCTGTGTCCTTACACACAGAAATTTATTTCTCATAACCATCACATCCAAAGCAGGTAAGATAATCAAAAAGCCTACATGAACAATGATAGAATTCAGTAAGAAGCAAAAACCAAAAACAATAGCTATCATGTTTCTAAATAACAAGTTAGGAAGTATAGCCGGGCCGGGCGCAGTGGTTCATGCCTATAATCCCAAAAATTTGGGAGGCCGAGGTGGCTGGATCACCTGATGTCAGGAGCTTGAGACCAGCCTGGTCAACATGGTGAAACCCTGTCTCTACTAAAAATACAAAAAAATTGCCAGACATGGTGGCAGGCACATGTAATCCCAGCTAGTCTGGAGGCTGAGGCACGGGAATCACTTGAACCTGGGAGGCGGAAGTTGCAGTGAGCCAAGATCCCTCCACTGTACTCCAGCCTGGGCAACGGAGTGAAACTCCATCTCCAAAAAAAAAAAAAAAAAAAAAAAAAAAAAAAAGGTATAGCCAAAGAAAAGATCCATTTTATACAGGGTTATTTATAGGAAAAGTAAATGACTAAATAAACATACAATGACATTTACAATGTTACATTTATAAATTTTATATTTTTATACTTATAATTTTTATAAATTTATAATACATATATTTTAAAAATGTTTTTATGTTTATAAATAACTTATGAATATAATATCTAGCAATAAACTATTATAAGAATTGTGCAATCAGGTTGGGCATGGTGGTTCATGCCTGTACTCCCAGCACTTTGTGAGGCCAAGGCAGGTGGATCACCTGAGGTCAGGAGTTCAAGACCAGCCTGGTCAACATGGTGAAACCCCGTTTCTACTAAAAACACAAAAAATTAGCTGGGCATGGTGGCGCATGCCTGTAATCCCAGGCATGATGAACCCTGTCTCTACTAAAAATACAAAATTAGCCTGGATAATATAGCAAGACCCCTGTTTCTACAAAAAAAAAAAAAAAATACAGGCTAGGCTTGGTGGCTCATGACTGTAATCCCAGCACTTTGGGAGGTTGAGGTAGGTGGATCACCTGATGTCAGGAGTACAAGATCACACTGGGCAATATGATGAAACCCCGTCTCTACCAATAATACAAAAATTAGACAGGTGTGGTGGCGTGTGCCTGTAGTCCCAGCTACTGGGGAGGCTGAGGCAGAAGAATCTCTTGAATCCGAGAAGTGGAGGTTGCAGTGAGCCTAGATCACACCACTGCACTCCAGCCTGGGTGACACAGAACAGTGAGACTCTGTCTCAAAAAAACAAAACAAAACAAAAATTAGCTGGGCATGGTGGTGCACTCTGTAGTCCAGCTACTGGTAGCAAGAGGGTAAGGCAGGAGGACTGTCAAGCTCAGGAGGTGGACACTCCAGTGAGCTATGATTGTGCCACTGCACTCCAGCCTGGGTGACAAAGCAGGCTCCTGTCTTAAAACAAAACAAAGGTCAGGAATTTGAGACCAGCCTGGCCAACATGGTGAATCCTCATCTCTAATAAAAATACAAAAGTTAGCCAGGTGTGATGGTGGGCACCTGCAATCCCAGTTACTCTGGAGGCTGAGGGTGGAGAATCTCTTGAACCCAGGAGACAGAGGTGGCAGTGAGCGGAGATCATGCCACTGCACTCTAACTTGGGCAGCAGAATGAGATTCCATCTCAAAACAAAAACAAAAACAAACACAAACAACAAAAAAACTAAACAGCTATCTTATCACCCTGCAAATTGTACCAAAGAGAAATGCAATTGTATGTCCATGCAAAGACTTGTACAGAAATGTTTGTCGCAATTTTATTGACAATAGCCTCAGACAGGAAAGCATTTATGC